TTAATCTAAGATGTAAGATGTTCTCAGCACAAACTGAACTGGCAAGTAAAAGATAAGCAAAAAGAATAGTGCCTATTTAAAAAAAAAAGAAGAAAAAGTCATGTAAACATGCCGATTCATTTATAATTGAATGTCAAAGGGGTGCTTCATAATAGTTTGAAATCCATGTGTCGGGATGCATATTGTGGGGATGTCTGTCTTCTCGTGTCAGTCATAGCGTTTGTAAACTATTGTGTCAAAGCTTATCTGGCGTGTAGGAGCATTGTGCGGTTCAATCTCCACTCTGAAACAGCATCAGAAGAAGCAGGAGAGCTGCCTCCTTATCAGTTAATGGATGACTACTCCGGAATGCCAGCCTGTTCATTGTGCTGACATTTAAACTGATGGGGACCCATTCCCCCCCCCCCACCCGCCGCCCCTTGGAAACTGGCAATAAAAGAAAAGTCTTCCTCCCAAAGATAATAAAAAAATGAACGGAGGCAAAAAAAAGGAAAACCAAGTATGCATAGGTGGAAACAGAGCTGGTGGAATATGCCAGAATTGATTGCTAAAGCTTTAGTTTGCCTCACATATCATATTGTTATCTAGAATTTTAAAAAATAGGGGAGTACAAAGACTTGCACCCAAACATAAATCACAGGGATTGGGTTTGGTGAGGCTTAAGGAAGGGTGATCAATTATATCCTGCCAGACATAGAAGAACAGGCTGAGTTTACACCCTTGGATGTCCTCATTATCACAATCATCCCCCTTAAGTGATGCAGACTGAAACATGGAAACAAGAGATAAATTCATGAATTATTGAACCAGACAACTAATATAAACTGACGTCAGCACCTCTGGACTCATGTGGAAAATGCAGTCATTTAGGATTAACAGAAAACAACAACAACAACAAAGGACCTCTCTTTGTCAGGCATTTGCAATAATATAGAACTGCTTTAATGATAGAAGAACAGATTGTTGTATACTGAAATATAAATGGGTTTATATTGACAGAATAAGACTCATTCTCAGATTAGTCAAAGGATTAACCTTTGAATAATAACTCATGTACCATGATTACTTTTGCTAAGCTTTGGGTAAAATTTGAGACCACAAATTTTGGAGCTCGTTGCACCTCTAAAAAAAAAAAAAAATCTGTTTTCAAACTTTTAAACAGATTTCATACAGCATGGCCAGGTTTAATTTTGTTCAAACTATGATTTTGCAGGGTGTTGGTGGTCACCACCTCAAAATGGGCATAATCCAAGTTTGAATCTCAGCTTGTTTCTCTTGTTTGTCATCGGGTGACATTACACGTTAATACACACCAAGGCCAGCCAAAGAAATGACACAGTATGAAGCGATCTAACACTAATTTAGTGAAAGAATGTATTAACCAAATGTATTATTGTTCCTTAATCTTAATTCCTGAGAAAGAAAGAAAATAGTTAACATATAAAATCAAGGTGGTCTTAGTTGGCTGGGAATATCTCCATTGGCCGATATACACAGGAATATGTTAACATTGTTAAGATGTCTACAGAGTTAACACTGATAAATCAAATTACCTTCATAATGTTAGGGCCAGACGGGTGAATATCTTCTTGTTTCGAGGTTCTGGGTTGTTTCTGGGGTTTAGGCGTCAGGCCCTTGACGACAGCCCTGCTGACATTTCCAGTACAGAGATACAATTCTGGTCGGTGTTTAAATCGGATTTCTTTTCTCATAACCTTTCCAGTCATTGCCAAGTAGGGGAGACTATTTTTGTTCTGCTGGCTCGATTGGCTGGGCTGTCAGGAGTTGATAAGGTCCCTTTAGCATCGCTAGGCAGACATCTCCAACGGACACTGGTCTGTGGAGGTGAAGAATACTGAATTTAGCCCCATCAACCTGGTCTTAGAGGCAGCTGCGATTGCCGGTTCAACTACATATCAATGCTTCTTAAAAGGACTGTGAAAGTAAAGCTTTACGTTCTATTTTTACCCAAAATGCAGTGATTTATTATCCATGTGAAAATGTTCCAGTATGGTAAAGTTTTTGCTCTGTTTTGTTTAAGATGGTGTCAAATAAGGCCTTTAAAGCAATAGCTTTATATAAGTCAATACCTTGTCAAAATATCCCTTGTTTTGGTATAGTGTCAACAGGATTACATCTCTATAATGAATACTTTTCACCCATAAAGCCCCCCTGGTGGTTATCCAACTACCAGCAACACCACTGTGGCCGGTGATGAAGCAGCTGAGGGCAAATGATCACTGTTCAAACTGAAAAATGAAACCGATCCGAATCTGTAAAGTTTGAATTTGTTCATTAACAGTGGGAAACCTAAAATGAATCACACAAAAAAAGCTCACCACGGTCGCCCCTCGCTGTTGTCTCATTAAAAAGTACAGACAGGTTTGATTGAAGGTGAGATGACTAAAGAGTACTGGGTAGAGACCCCTAAGCTGCCTTTGTCCTCAGTAATGAGGCACTGAGCTTCTAATTGAGGGATCATGCGGAGCTGAAGGTACAAAGTCCCTCTAACAGATGGCGGGAGTCTGCAGTCAGATAAATAAACCATTAGCACAGCGGAGACACATCACCATGTAAGAGAGGTCTTTTTTTTTTTACCTTGTCCTGTTCAGCATTCTGGTAGCAGAACTGAAATCTGAGTACCGTGCTATGCTGAGCAAAATTGCTTTGCCAAGGGAGGCTTTGTTAGTGAGAAGCCCCCCTTGATTACCCCAAAACTTCTTTATTTATTCATTTTTGTTACCAAACTTCCATATGTCCAATAATGCCGAACCTGACAGAGGGACAGGGGGAAAGGGAAGGGTAGTGGAAAGGAGAGAGATCCTTTAGAAAGGGAGAGACGGGGGAGAGAGAAAAAAATAAGAATAAAAAAAAGAAGGAGAAAGAAAGACAACAAGACCATATGACCAGCTGTTATGTCTGCAAAAAGGACACTGTTCCTTGTGGGCAATCCAAGTGGAGAACCTGTAGTAGCTCCTGCAAAAGGGCACAGGGGAGACAAAAGAACAAACAAGCAACGAAAGCAACAACACTGGTAGCACGACATTAATGAACTTCTCAGAATTGCGCAGCAACTGTACGGAAGCCCAAGGAGGCGTGTATCTGGGTAACTGACTGTGCGTGTGTGTGTGTGTGTGTGAGAGAGAATGAGAACCCAGGTTTACCCGATTGTGCTTAGTTATAGTGCAGAGGGGCCACCAGCCGAAGGCCCCCCCCCCCAAGCGCTCGGAAGAGAGGTCTTTGCAAGCATTACTTGCAACATGACAACATAAAGCATTATGCCACGTCTCGGTTTTGGACTGTTGAAGTAAGGGGATAACAGAAGTTGCTATTGCAAAGAACCCTGTGAGGCAAAGGCTGTCATGTAAAAGCCTCGGCTTCTTACAGATCTGGACAGCTCGGATCTCTGCTGACTCGGTCGCTATACGTTTCCGTCTGACAGGCTGTTGCCCTACTTGGGTTCTGACATGAAGAACTGACATGACCGAAATATTTACCTCGCCTCAGGACCTCTGCTATGCTGACATCGTGACTGATAAGCACACAGATTCTTGGCGTTTAAGCATGCATTGCATTAATAGAAACATAAGCTTTTTAATGCCCCATGTTTAACCCAATGTGTTGAGTCTTGAAGATATCAATTTAATACTGACGGAACAATACATCAAAGGTTCAAATTTAGAGGTGGGCGTAAAGTTCAAGAAAATCAGTCTAACATTGTGATCAGACCATAACACAGTTGAGGAATAAATATTTGACCTTATAAGCATTATTTGTGAATTTGATTGGCACAAATTTGTGACAGTAGACCTTCAGGTGATAACTTTGTACCACTGGATGTTCTCTTTGGGAAATGGATTGGAAAATGCATGCTCAGGAAGAAAGACTTTCTGTGATAAAGTCTTTAGTGACCCTGCATGCAGATAAAGGAAATTATAATAGAATGTGAGTCAAATTTAGGTATAAGTTGATTCTATGTATAGAAAAAAATACAAGGGGATTCACTGTGTGTCCTCTCCTTTGGCAATATCATTTTTATAAATGACAAAGTCCAACAACATTTCAAAGCTCATCATATATAAAACAATAATTTATTACTTCTGTAATTTTACAAGACTCAAATTGTGTGGCTAACTAAGGATTTGTTAAGATGTTATTCTACCTGATACATGGAATCCTACAAAAGCTATATGTGTGCTTAAACAAATACAAATGCTCCGGGTTTCAGCTGTGTGAGAATCCACTTTCTTTAAAGGTACACACATACATAACAATATCGTGTAACAGATGGTACACTAATGGTGTTTTAACTTTGGGAAATCAGCACCATTTGAGAGAAATACTGAAACAAAAAAAAAGTGAATTTTTTTTTACAAAATGCTATATTTCAAACTTTTTCTTTTTCCGTTTTTTTCTTTTTTACAAAAGGTTTGTTTTTCTACCTTTGAGTGAAAATAGCATTGTCTCCATAAAAACATTATGTGTAATTGAACAGGACTGAACAGAAATATATATTTTATTTACATACATGTATGCACATATGTACACACACACACACCCACACACACATATACATATGTATATATAAACATATATTTATACGTGTGTGTCGATGTGTGTGTGGTTCAAACTGAATACTCTAATTAGTGTAAAATGCTGCTTTATAAGATGTGGCACATGTTCTTGAAACTCTTTTAACCTTCCGCCTTCCAAAAAAAAGTCAAATGCTGTGATTTCATCTCGAAAAAATATCCAAAAAGCGAGCACAAAGGTAGAAAAAAGTTATTGAAAAATGCTTTGCAAATGGTTATGATACAGTAGCTGAGTCCCAATCAATCAAGTCCAACTATTTCTTCAACAGGACTCTTCATCTCTGTTGTGGAAAGAGTTCACCCCGAAAAGCTTTCCTTATTTCCTTATTTACACATCGAGCGAAGCTGGTGCTGTTCTCTGGACAGTCCATTACACTGCGGTCCGGCCACCTGGACTTTAGAGAGAACTTAGACCGTGGTCACAGACAGGAGGGAATTGTACACCCTCTGGCCGTCCGGCGACTTGGTACCGTGGGTCAGCAGTTCTTGGATGGTCATCCAATTGTCGAATATCTTCTTGCTCCTCTTTTTCATCATCTTCTTGTGGCTGAGTTCGATGATGTTGGGCTCCTTTTTGTCCTCGGGGCCGACCTGCTCCCTGAGGCAGTCGGCCCGGCTCTGCTTCATGAACTCGCGGCGCTGCTTCTGCTCTTTGGAGCGCACCGCGTGCTGCTTCCGCTCCTCCTTGCTCCAGTAGCGGCCCATCTTCAGCTCGCTGGCGGCGTCGTCGTCCGTGGTGGCGCCGCTGCGCTCCTCGTGGATGCGCAGGGCGCGCTCCCGCAGCAGCTTGTCGCGGACGGGCCGCTTGGTGATGTAGCGCGTGCCGTCGCTCCGCACCTTCACCTTCCACTCCATCTTGGGCTCCCGGCTGACCATGCTGACCAGGCTCATCTGGCTCTGGGCGTACTCCACGGCCGACTTCTGCTGGATCAGGTGCATGTAGCTCTGGTAGTGCTGGGCGTGGGCGGGGATGTGGGCGTGTTTGTACGGCGAGTGCGGCTGGGGGAAACCGCGCCCGCTCTTACCGGACTCCCCCGGCTTCTTCTCCTTGGTTTCGTCCCCCTGGAGGGCCCCGTCCGGATCCGGATCCTTGGAGGAGCCTCTGCTCCGGCCGGAGCCGCTGACTTCCTGGACCGGGGACAGGAGGGGCTTGGGCGTCCCGCCGTGGGGGCCGGACGCCCCCACCGGGCCCTGGCCCTCGGCCGCCCGGCGGAGGGAGTTGTCCGGGGACAGCTCCAGCGTGAGCGGGGTGCTGCGGCAGCTCTCGCCCGTGTTGTAGGCGCTGGAGCTGTCCTTGTCGGACTTCTCCGGCAGCTCGGTGATGTCGGAGAGCTCGTGGCGGCGCCGCGCGTCGATGCTGGTGTTGTAGTTCCGGAAGCCGCCGTCGTGCAGCATCCAGGACTCCCGGCACTGCTGCATCTTGTGGGCGCGCACGATGTTCAGGCACTCCAGCTCGATGCTGCGCAGCTCCTCGTTGAGCAGCTCCAGCTCCTTGTCCACGCCGCCGTCCGGGTCCTGGGCCCCCCCGGCGCCCAGGCCGCACTTGAGCTCCAGGAGCTCGCGGAAGCGCTCGCACTCGTCGGCCGGAATGCCCAGGAAGTCGGCGTCGGCGCAGTCGAAGGGCAGGTCGGAGCTGCCCAGCGTGTCCTGGCTGTAGGCCAGCTTCCGGCAGCTGCCCAGCGTGCTGGAGGCCGTGGTGGTGGGGTCGTCGGCGAGGTTCTCCTGCTCGGAGCTCTCGTCGTTCCGCGTGCTCTCGTCCGTACGGCCGACGCCGCTGTCCTTCTCGTGGTGGTTGGAGAGCAGGGTGGCGGTGTCCGTGGTACCTCCGTCCTCCTCCAGCTTCTTCTGCACAGAAAGTAGCAAAGGAATAAGGAATATATATATATATATTCAATTCAATTCAATTCAATTTTATTTATATAGCGCCACACCACAACAACAGTTGTCTCACAGCACTTTAATTACAGAAACCCAACAATTCCCACCATGAGCAAGCACTAGGCGACACAGGCAAGGAAAAACTTCCTTTTAACAGGCAGAAACCTCGAGCAGAACCATGGCTTTTTCTTTCTTTACTTTCATGACTATGAAAATTGTAGATTCACACTGAAGTCATCAAAACTATGAATTAACACATGTAGAATTATATACTTAACATAAAGTGTGAAACAACTGAAAATATGTCTGGTTTAATGTGCAAATAGAGTGTGTGCAAAGCAGTAATCAGAGCAAAAGGTGGCTACTTTGAATAACCTAGAATATCAGATATATTTTCAGTTGTTTCACACTTTTTTGTTAAATATATAATTCCACATGTGTTAATTCATATTTTTGATGACTTCAGTGTGAATCTACAATTTTAATAGTCATGGAAGTAAAGAAAACACTTTTTGAATAAGAAGGTGTGTCCAAACGTTTGGTCTGTACTGTATATTACATGTTACATGTTCATCTAGACATTGTTGTTTGGCCAAACAACAATGTCTAGATGAACGTGTGTTGGGGCAGAATGTGTGTTCTCCCCGCACATGTGCGTACCTGCTGCAGCATGCTGGCGGTGAACTGCATGGCCTGATGGTGCTGCTGCTCCAGCATATCCATGTGGAGGTCATCCAGGAAGTCGTTCCTGTCATCATCCATCCAGCCTTCGTCCAGCTGAATCCCAGCAGAGAGAAGGGAGGAGATGGAAAATTAAAAGGCACATTTTTTTCTTTTTCAAAAGAAACAATAAAATAGGGGCACTGGTTCCAAATAGGCTTAACTATATTTTTTAATATAATTTGTATTGTTGACATAAATAATTTCCGAAGGCAAACACACATTGGCATGCTAATTACCTGGATCTCTGGTCTGGCCACCAGCAGAGAGATATTTTGGTTGCTCTCACTAGTCAGCAGCGCCACAGCATCCTCTCTGTTTTGGATCTCAACACCATTTATCTTGATGGACACAGGGAAAAAAATCAATCTTTTTATAGTCCTGTATCTTTTGCCCAACACATTTTTTTAAAATTCTGATTTGCACAATAAAACAAACTGACAGTTGATGCTTAAAGCTATTAACTGCTGGGGGAAAAAAAAGAACGAAAACAGTACTATTTATAGATCTTACCTGGACAATTTTGTCACCTTCTCTTATTCTGCCATCCTTTGCCGCAATGCTGTTGGGATCAACCTGAGGTACAGATATTTATTTTAGCAAGTAAGACTGAAAATAATTCTGTCACTATGTGTTGAAGCATTGTTCCGTGGAACCCACCTCACTGATGTAGATCCCGGCCTCATCCTCATCATCAGTCCTGTAACAGATGGTCAGGCCGAGTTTTTCCTGGATGTTGGCTCGGTATAGGTCCACCTCCTGGTAAGACGAAAAATGACACCTGTAATGAATCTTTTCTGACAAAGACCGGACCGAAGTTGTGCTATGCATACTGTACGTGCTTCAGGACAAACAGAACGTAAGGACTATTACATGGGATCAGGGAGCAACAACGATCCATCTGTCACAGTAATGAATCTTTCGGACGGATGCGGGGAAGCCGGCGGCTTTTCTTAGAGGCCGTCTGACAGAATGAGAAACGAGCTGGTGGACGACAGAAAGGCAGAGAGCCATTTTTTTTTTTACCTGTCAGCACCTGCAATCTCACAGATGCAGACGAAGATACGAGCAGAGGAGAGGCTGTGTGAGGTCAATCCCCAGAAGTAGGCTAGCTTTTAGGTCAATAAGGGCAAGAAAAACTCAATGAATTTATTTGAAATAGATTTTTAAATGTTTTGAGGTAGCTTAGGCCTTAATTTATAAATTATTTATCTGAAAAAAAGTCCTTTGTTCTCTTTTTATTTTGAGGGAACTTTGGCAAAATGATCAAGATAATTGAAAAAGACCCAGTTTCAGTCTTTACCAACAATGTAACTGGCTCTGAGTCTTCACTGCAGTCATGATGTTAATGTTAGGCGTAGAATTCTGCAGAACCTTTTCAAAAAATGGAATCCTCCAGTATAGGCATAATTAGTGCAGTACATTGGCAGGTATGTGTTAGCACAAAAGATGCTGTTGCCGACCTAAATGTGCAAATAAAAGCCAGTATATCCATGCCGTGACGATGAAGCCATGAGCTTATGTTTAATTCTTCCTTGCCGCTCTCTTTGGTTTGGAATCTTACTGAGAATGGCTGAACACCCACTTCACATTGAACAACTGGGCAATTAAATCCAACATTTTTTCGATGTCTTGATCCGTTCACTTAACCCTTTAAAGCCTGATCCAAGAAAAATAGGAAAACTATTGGATTTTTTTTAGTCTGAAGTCTTTTTTTGATCCCTTAACAACATAGAAAGAAAAAAAAACAGAAATAATTTTGATCAGATTAGCGTGCAATAAGTCAAAAATATATTTTGGTGTAGTCTTCAACTGGCTGTTATCAGGTATATCTGAATGTGTACAACAGGGGTTTGAGCAAAGCTTTTACCACTGAATGATGCAAAAAGTCTCAGATCCAAAAGACTTCAGAAACCGTATGAATCTAATATGATACATTTGGCATTATAGGGTTGAACATCATGACGTACGGCGTAAAAAAGAAAGAAAGAGAACTGATCGTGATACTGGGCAGATGCCATAAGCCGTCCTCAGCTTCACATTTTGGCTCTTAGCTCAGACAGTAGGCGGTTAAGGTTTCATGACAGGAAACATCATGTTTGGTGGAGGTCACAGAGGGTGAACAACGGTAGTTTGATCGTGGTCTCATCCAGCCATTGTTTGCATCGCCAGATCCATCACTGCAGCGCTATTATCTGTGCGATCTAATTATCCACAGGGCCTCATCTTCACCGCGTAGGAGCATCGGAAGACTTATTAGTCCCTGTCACTAATAAGTAACGATGTCACCGTTGGGCATCTGCTGGAACAAACCAGCACCTCCATTCCACGTCCAGCTTGCATATGTATGTGTGTGTGTGTGCTCCTTGAAAAACCGAGATACATCATCATGATTTGTGGACACGGAGGCAACCTCCAGTCTGGTAATGGAGTGATAAAGGAGAAAAACGAGAATAAAAATTCGAAGCAGGGGTTTTTACCTCATATTCTAGCTCCTCACGCTCTATGTCCTGTTGTATGCCCTCCAGGAAATCATTAGGGTCAAAGTACGCATGACCAGGAGGATGCCTGAGAAAAGAAAGAGGGTTAGAAAAATCGCAAAAAACAGCGGAAAGCAATTTAGACACGCACTCCTTACGAACGTCATGAGGACACACATTTGTGTGTCTGGATTTAAATTTGCCCCAGAGTTTGAAAATGAAATGAGGCATACATGGGAAGTAATAAGAGCTCAATGAAGAAATCAATTTAAAATCAGATATACGAGAGCTTCAGCCGCAGGCCAGTAGCAAATTAACACGCTGTTATTAATTTTCTCGGAAATCAATTAGAGAAATCTCAGTTATGCTTTAAAAGGCATTTACTGCCCGCTGTGGAGAGTGAAAAAGACTCAGGCTCTTTAACCTTTAGAGTTTAACACACACATACACACAAGCAAAAGGTCCAATTTAATAATGATAATAATAATAATAATAATCAAATACAAACTAACAGAGCCATCTTTTAACTGTGGTTGTGTGCCCTGGAGGAACTAATCTCTTCTAAGTGACGGGGGGCATTTTCCAACATCATTCTGTGTGACCACAGTGAAAAAGATAAGCTGTCATTCACTTAATTAAACCACTCTGGTGAAAGGTTGCAAAAGTGTCTCAAACTAACATGACCTTTTCAACACTGCTGAGCCCTGACACAAAAGATTTCCAGCATCTTCTCAAGTAAAAAAAAAAAATTAAGCCACAATACAAAGTAGGATCCTAAAAATAAATACATTGGCTTGAGTTGGCACCTCTTTTTCTTTTTTAGGAAAAAGGAGGGGTGGTTCTGTTGGGGATTAATTGCCTCTGAAACCTTTAAGATGAATGTTCCAGGAGGGCTGGGTGGGCTTAAAGGCTCAGGAGAGAGCAAAAAACTGCTCAGTGCAACAAAAGACTGTCTGGAAAGTTGTCACAGCTACAATCTTATACAGGGAACGTTCACAAAGTAATGCCCCAGAAATGGAGGAAGCACACTATATTTTAGGATGATACTGCTCTGCGTTGAGCAAGATTCCGTTTTTAACAATTCAGCACTCTACCAAGAGCATCAATCCTTACAATGCCAATGTATGATATCCTAGATCATGACAGGGCATCAGACTTTGGATAAAAGGGAATTATTATACAATATATATACTATATATATATATAATATATATACACTGAGTTATGTTCATTTACTGACCTGCCACTGTTCAAAGCTCAACTTAAAACGTATTTGTTCAGGATGGCTTTTTGCACGTAGAGTCTCTGTATACTGGGTTCTGTCACCGATGTGTTTGTCTTTGTGTATTTCGATAGTTTGATCTGTTTTTTATTCTGTGAAGCACTTTGATCAGCTCCCGTTGTTGTAAAGTGCTATATAAATAAACATTGATTGATTGATTGATTGATATTTCTCCCCTTGCCTGGACGCATACTGACCTTAAGGTTTCATTAGATTCAAGTTGGCCCTTACACAATTGTGCGATTTCACTTGGATTTTTAGTTAGGTCTTAAAAGGCCAAGTTAGTACTCACTCCTCTGGGAGCAGATACTCCTCCAGCTCCGTCATCGGGGGTGAGGCGGGAGGCAGCTTGGAAAGGGCCATGATGTGCTGGAGGGTGATGTCGGTCTGGGTGCTGATGTCCGAGAGTTGGGTGTCGTTGGCGGGGCTGACCAGTTTGGGGTAAGGGGCCCGGCGCAGGACCTGGACCACGATGGGCTCCTTGGCGGTGCGGATGGCCTCCACTGCCTGGTCGTGGGTGGCCTTAGAGAGGTCCTTACCATTGACCTGGACGAAAAAAAACACTTGAGTTGAGGATTTGATCTTTAAATTGGAAATATTGACGCTGAGAGACACACATTTTAATCTCCCTGGGAGAAGAATATTTATTTTTCCAAATTGATGCAATCATTTTGTCTAATTGTGCCGCCCTTTTAAATCCCTTTGCCCACACGATCTCAGCAGTGATCTTCTGCCTGGGAAATGACTCATTAGAGCCCCTCAGCTTGTTTTACAGGGTCATAGCTGGACCAAATAGCATAAGACCTTAATTAAGAAGCGTTCCTCTTTAATTTATCAAGGTCATTAGCCGTGGCTGTAAGCGGGGGTCCCTCTTTTAGCCGAGTAATTTCTCAGTGGAGGATAAATTCGACCTCCTGTCAGAGATAGTGTCGAGGGCGGCATGCGTTAACCTGGGAAGATTAATTTGAGTAAAAAGTCTGTCGCGTGTTGTAAAGATGAAGCTAATTAGGAATGGTGGAACCACTTATAGTCTCTGTATGCCCGTGAAAGATGAGTGCAGAGACTCCCAGGTTTATGCTGTCCACAATGCAAAGGCTGAAGGTAAATGCTAAATTTTAAGCTTCATTGTGAAACAAATGGCGTCATGTCTCTGGAGGTCCATTAATTAAGTCAATATTAGTTAGTTTGTGCATACCTCTCTTTTCAATTTTCTTATTCCCTGCCACTTCACTGGAAACCCACAAGTTCACGTCTTTTAAATAGTTACTTTTTGCTGGGGACAGGTCATCTGGGACTCACACAGCTATAACGTCCTAGCATCTAACACACATGTGAGTGGAATTCATTTTTACTGATAAACAACTGGCTGGTTGATTTGCCTGCCTCTGGCTGTGGGGCTCTAAATCCCATTCGCAGAATAGTTTGCAGACTTTTATCTGTGAGTAGCTGCAATATTACAACAGTCCTGGGGAATCAAGTAGAAAAAAAACAAAAGGAGACAATGTGGAAACTGGGAACATGTTCCAGAAGACATTTGGAACCCATACACACTTAAAAAGCGTCTGTGAGAAGACAAGGAAAACAGGAAGAGGAGGAAAGGTTTACGGTGCATTCAGAGGGATAATAACCAGAGTTATTAGTTTAATGCTAACAAAATCAAAACTTCCACTTATCCTATACAGAAACTTGGACAAGAAAATGATGAAGCTCCTTTATTCGCAGGTTCTACTGAATGTTTTCACACCATGACAAAGCAGCCGGGCTGAAAAAGTACCGCTGTCACGACAGTTATCTCACGGGAAAGGAATAAAAACTATTCTCTTGTCTCCTTTAAGAGACTAATCCTTCAGATCTACGTCTGTCTCTGTCTCCCACAGCGAGCCTTGATGCTGAAGATCGGCTGAGGAACACAAGCTCCTTTGTGCCGTCTCCTCACCGCACGTAGGTTTTTCGACTGTTTCGACCTGGTTGCTGGGAATATTCAGAGCTCCTTGAGGGGGCAGCGGAGCACAGACGAAAGCCTTTAGCCTTCCTCGCTCTCAGCCCGAGGCATTTTCTTGCCTCAGCGCTCTTAACGGGGCGATTTTTTCCTTGCCGGGCCGTCGGAGGGGGTCCCCTCGGCCTATTCAGTACACTCACCTCTGACACGGAGCTAAAAAAAACACACAACAACTCCTCTGACACAATACACAATGCCTCACCCAGGCACTCACAACTCCGTTTACATCAAGCTCATGCGGCCAAAAGAGACAAACCATTTGTAGGTTTCATGCTCTAAAAAACCTGACCCGCGAGGTTCGGGAGGGTTTCCGTTCGCAAATCCCGAACAATTGAGCCTCTGTCCTTGCGGACACATAGGTGACCGACGGAACAGAAATGCCTCTAATCCTCCGTCGCATCCTCGAGAGTGGTTTACGCTAAATCCATTTTAATAACACGAGCGCATCAAGGCCTCATGAAAAGAAATACTAATTAGGTCTTAATCAAGCATCCACTGTGCCAGCGTCTTGTTGAGGGACTTTGCTATTCACAGCCTTGGTCTCTGTCATTAAAAACCTAACACTGGACCTCTAAAGCAACAGTAAACCTGCATGGCTAACTAGAATTTGGCTTTCTGGGACCAATTCAGGACTTGAGTTGCCCCTTCAGTCAGTCCTCAGCCCGCTGAGTAATAATTAGGGACATCAGGGATGCTGGATCACCTATGAAACACAAATCGAGTCGGACTGAGATGTCGGTGCTCGAGTTTATGTCGAGTTGATCTATTCTGAGCTTCTTGAAGCGCCGACGGACGACGGAGCTCATCAGACTGGCAGCTGGCGCCGTCTTTTCCATGATTGCTTTGGTAATTATCTGGATTGAGTGAAGCAGCCCTCAGGTTTTCATTTATTCCCTATCAAATCAGGTCACTGACATAAAAAATAATAATTTATGAGCATCATGGAAAAGTGACACAGAATACATACAGACTGAGAGCTATGAATGGAGCTGAAATGATGCGACTCTGGGCCCTGGATCCCCCATGAGTTATGGTCACTTTAGCTGTAAAGCTTCCTGTCCCGACTCATTAGGTTTGTAATAAACATAGTAGAAAATGCAAGCATAAAAATGACACTTCTACATGTTTGGAAACAAATATTAATTTCAGATAAAGAAGAACAGGTGCCTACTTAATGGCTGCTAATATGTCTTTTTTTCCTCTATATCATGTAAACAGAATCACCATTATAAAGAATTTTCCTCCTTATTCTGGAGAGGAATGTGATGACTATGGTCCATTCTACTAACTGAGGCCAGTTCCAAATGCTGGTTATTTTTTCATCGTGCAAATCGATCTGGATTTGGCCTCCATGAAAATGTTTGTGCAAAATAGGCCAAAAAGGGATGCTGTGTTTTCAAAAGTCATGAGCACTATTAAAAAACTCCAAATTGAGGTAGACACATATTCCTGACTGAATAATTATTGCTGTGAAATTCTCAAAACAATCTAAATCAGACTTGTTGTCTAGTTTGGGGGATGCCAAACGAGTCGATGTGAAAATGTCCATTTAGAGACAGCAATTTGATCTGATGAGGCCATTTTCATAGCCATCCAAAAACATTCAGAGTGCATCTGAATGAGAAGAGATTAGAAGAAACAGAGATACATACGATTGTCTGGAGTTCAACACAATGCCACACTGTTATAATGCGTCTTGAGACAAGAGTAATGAGTCTATTTGTCGTCTACCTTTAATTCAAGAAAAATCCACTTTAACAAAAAAGAATCCCAAACAAGTTGCTTGTTCTGGTCGCAAACCAGGAGAGAGGCAAAGTAACTTTAGTCTTTGATACAGCCATTCAAACACCACGTAATCCTTCCATGAAGCAGAGAGGAGTCTTATTAAAGAGCCAGTGTCTGACTTCCTCGGGGGGCACAGCGAAGTGAACAGAGAGGAAACAAGCCAGCAAAACTATTCCTTTCAGCCTGGCAGAAGAAAAAAACGCTGGGACCTTCACACCATTGAGGAGCATCTTATAGAGCCATGACGCTCACCTCCTCTTTTTGGTCGGATACACCTTTTAGACAAATTCTTCAAAATCTCTATTCGGAACAGGGAGAAGCTTCGACGTGACGGAGAGCATGAAGGCTTAATTTCAGAGGGGGGTGCCTATATGAGGTTTGAATGGCAGTTTGAATGTAGGTCAATCTAGTCGCAAAGCAGAGTTAATCCCCTTCTTATTTAACTTTCAACCATTCTCGTGAGAAGGAGAGTAAATTGAAGCAGCAGACAATGACTTCCCAGCTTGCAGGTTGACGCTGGTCAATATTAAAGCGGGGTCCGTCTTATAAAATCAGAACGTATGACAGGTTGGATGGAAAACCCTCTGCCAAATGAGGTTTAAAATCAGAGCAGGCTTATTCAGGATGACAGGGAAAATGGAGAAAAAACTGGAGAGACAATGGGCATATTTATCAATTGTTACCTTTCCTCTATTCTCCGTTCCTTTTTTAAAATTCTGCTTTATTTCATCTTTTGTTCCTTTTCTTCTTTGTTTTTTTCTCTTTTCCTTACCCCTGGTCAGGTTTAGCATTAACCATCTTACTTCTGTAACAAAAATAAATCTTAAACTAATAATAAAGCAGTATTGGATGATCAAGGGAAGCTTCTCACCCTGACAGGCCTCCCCTGGCTAATCAAAAATGTCAGAGCATGGCACTCAGATTACAATTCCGTTGCCATAATGCTAAACACAACAAGGGGCAAAAAATAAAGACCTCTATCGAGTCTAATGAGCACAGAAAGTAGGAGGTGTCTGTGACTACTGCTATGCCAAAAACTAGAAACGGAAAGACGCAAATAGCCTTTCCGAGTCAAAACAACTCAATTTCACACCGTGCGCTCGTGATGTTTGGCAGGAGCAAAGTGCAGAAAGCAGAGCAACATCGGTCTCCGCCGCCGGCCACAGATGTCAGAACACTGATCTAAAGCAAAGCGAAGGGTGGAGTTCACGGGGCAGCTAATGTCGGCGATGGGCCCGAAAATTACGGCCGCGCCACGCTTCATTAACACCGTTATCTCACGCCGCTACCCCAGGGCCACATCTTTTCTGTCCAGGCTCACGTAATCCTGGCCAACACCATAAAAACGGCGATTCCCTGTAGGGAAAATCTAGCGGAGCTCTGGGCTCAGTACCAAGGCCAAGTCTGTTTGTCCCACGCAGCCTGGTCCAAATTGCACCGACAGCAATCAAACGCGGCTTCAGAGGTATCGTGCATTAGCAAAAGGGGTGAAAAAGGGGACTGTAGCTCCTATATACAGCAGCCTAGTCCTGCTTATACGCAAACATGTGAGTACATATGTATCTAAGGAATGACTTAACATGACTGGTAATGCTATTTAACTCATTGGCTGCCAAGGACGTCTATAGACGTCTTTTATGTTTTTCAACGAGAGTGGCTTGGGGGACGATCTGCTAAAGCTTGTCTGTAAATATCAGGCTTCTACACAGAGTATGTAGTAACAAATTGACCCTCTAGGTGGCAGTGCCACTTTTGATGGGAGATGAGCATAGACTGTAGGAAAATAAGAAAAAGGTAACGGTTCGCTATGAGAGAACATGTCGCCGGTGAGATGCAAGTCGAGGAAGAACGGAATAAGGTAGAAACTAATTTTTTTTTCCTGATGAAAGAAGAGAGTCTACTCTTTCTTTTGGTGTGTTCGGTATTTACATAGTCATAGCACAAACTATTCTGTGGCTCTTGAAATATCAGTCAAAATGCTTAAAAAACTCTGGCAGTCAATGAGTTAACAAGTACCCGTAAGCTTTTTCATAGAAAAATGCTTTAATTATTACAGTCTGAATACAAGCTCTGAAACAATGTATCAAATAGCTAATCAACTTTTCATCAATTAATAGCCCCCCCACTGTTAACAACACCTGTCACAGAGTAAAGATCACAGCTGAGCACAAAGCCTTTTCTTCCAGGTAACCCGGAGAGCAAATTACAGAATGTAAATGAAAAGAAAAAAAAGAGCCTTTCTCCCTCTTATTATTCAGACTTTTTATACGAACACTGTGATAGACTGGTGATGCCTCACTATCTTTTCGATAATAGCTATGACAGACTCCTGTGTCTTTAGAAGGACAAAGCTGTTAAAGGAGATTAATGAAGAATGAATCACATCATTTAAGATCTATTGGGGACTTTAGTTGGACTTTGGGCGGGAGGTAATTGGTTCAAACTCATTTTCAAAATAGGAACTGAAGGGTAGAAAGGCATTTTAAACAATACCATTTCTAGCTATTCCACAGTTTGACCCCATTATATGTGAGGTGCTGCTGTAATTCAGGTCCATGTTTAGCTAACTGTAAACTGTTCTAACCAAAAAGGATGCTGGCAGATGAAAGTGCCACTTCATGTTTAATGCTCAGTACAAAACAAAACAAAATGCCCCCTTTCATAGAGTAGAGAAAATACCAATGAATAATACTCAGAGTTAATTACATGGGGGAAAAGAATACATGGATGAGAGCAGACATGTTTCCCCATTATGGACCTTCTCTTAGGCTACATGATTGATATCTTGTACATCATTTAATTTTAAAGTATCTCTGCTCCCCTCATCCGATCTTTTTCCTACCGTACTGTTAGGATCTTGTTATGTGTCTGTTGAGGATTGGTTTGGATGAAAAACTGACTAGTGAAAACATTTTCTTCTAATTTTCCACCAGCCTGGTCCATACTGGGACCATCTGGCACTGAGATAGCTTGGCTTTTTGTTTTTTAGCTAACTGTGAAGTATCTGTAGCTTTTAATCCGAGATGTGTCTAATTAGGAGATGATCCAGCAGGCTCATTTAAAAAGAACAAACAAAAACAAAAGTATCGGTCGTCAGATCAATCGCTTTTGGGCCGAAAATGATTTTCCCCTGCAGGGAACAGAAAATGGCAAAAAAAAACATAAACAGGAAGAAGCAGAGGACAGAGAAAGCAAAGGATTTAGCAGACAAATAACGGTCCAGAGACAGGCCAGCGCGGATCAGGGAGTGAATATTGAATAGCCGGCTTGTGTTGGGACTCTAATTAAGTTCTGGGTCTTCCAAGACCCGCGGCGAGGCGCCACAGCCGTTACGGAGTGCTCGCGGAGAGATTAAGTGACCTGTGACTGTCAAACAGACTCTCCAAGGCTTCTCCCGTAAAGCCCCAGACAAAAGAGACCGAGCTTACATCTCGGCACGGTGCTTACCTTCAGCTTTGAAGAAAGGACTGAGGGACCCACCGCTGTCAGAGGGGTCAAGTTTAAAAGGGAAGACCGGGATTTAAAGACCACAATGAAAACTTTTATCTGCATCCACAACACTGGCTGCCTTTTAAAGACCCTCGCCATGGCTTTACTGACACCATCTTCGACTCCTACGAGCCGAACGGGCCTTTAAAAGTCAGGCGGACGCGTCTAATCCCGCCGAGTCTTCAAAAAAACACCTCCAGGTGAAATGCGATGTGCAGTCTTGTTGACTTTTTTTGTCAAACCGTGCAGAGCCGTATTTTTCACGCTTCCAACACGGGAGTTAGGGCTTAACTGTTTAATGAACTGGAAAGATTTCAAGTGTTCATGGATTATTAAGCCCTCCCAGGCATGAGGAGAGCACGGTGGGCGCTTTGCCAGCCTCTCTGATCTATGGGATCTGCCTGTAATATAAGTCGAAAGGGGAAAAAAAACAAAAGACTTCCCACAATCCTTCCTCTCAAGAAGAACAAGTTAGAGATTTGCTCACACGTTTTTTTTTATTTATCACCACCTTCTGTATCGTGAACAGTCACAGAAGACGGCGTCACACCGAATCGTGTAGTTTACGAGTGTTCAAACGAGGCATTAAATGTTTGTGGAATACATCCAAATTCCCAGTCCATCCAACATCGCCTTCCAGGCATTCCGCAGATAAAATAAAAGCATGCCGAGACCAGATTGGGCTACAAAAAACTAAACTAATTTAAAGCAAAGACGACAAACATGAAAAACGAGAGATGACACCAGACCACAGTCCTTTATAGCTCACCCTGGGGGGGGGATGTTTCCCCTTGATACCATCCATGATGGACCCCATAAACTGGTTGTAGGTTTCAGCAAAGAATTCAGCTTGGACAATATTAACTTCAAATAGTACCTGTTAAAGTCTACTGATCCAGAGCCTACATATGTAAAGGACAAACATACAAAAAAAGAGAGGTGCTGTGGCATTTATTGTATAAAACACAATAGATTCTTAACTGCAACATCACTATGTGAATCTAACCACAAATTATAAAGCCATATCCTTAAGAGAGACAGTTCCTTAAAGGCTTTCGCCAACAGTTTCAGGCCCCATTGCCTTTTTCCCCGAGCTAACACGCTGACTCAACTAATTCAACAGATCTAGAGGCTGCATCATTTTAAAATGTCATTCCAAATGTCTACCAAGCACCACTGGAAAACTAATTGTTTGCCAGACTTTATGGGATCCTGTCTTACTTTACTTCTCATCTCTGCCTTTTTTCCTGGCTTCCATTCCCAACCAACAGGCTGAAGCCTCTCCAAGGTCTCACAAGAATCTTAAAACTATGCCCAAATTAAAATTTGTTTTGTTGAATACAGTAAGTCGTCACTTATTTCCCGCAAGACAGTTAGGAGCTCACTTTAAAACTGCACATTAGATTTAAAGTATTGTGTGCAGTAAACATAATGAAGTGTTAATCACATTCACATTAATAGCCATAAAAATGTGCTCTGTTGATTGGTTAATCAATTATTCATATGTTTAAACTAATGTAATAATGAAAAAAATAAGAATAATCTCAGTGAATAAATAAAAAGACAACAAATAAATCATGTCACGCCATTTTCCCAGTACAATCACAACTAACTCTTTTTAAGCATTCCTTTCTGAATTCCTTTGTATTCTTTTCTGTGTTATTTTGCCTTATTTTATGTGTCAGGAAAGCAGTTTGTAGCAAAAATCTAGAGGAAAAACATTTTTGGTTCATCATTTTGGATTTCAAGTCAGTGGCCACAGTTCCCCTATGCAATGTCCATCCCTGCGTCTGTCCATCCTTCTATTTTTTTTACCACTTATCTGTTGGGTCGCAAAAACAACAGCCTGAAGAGGGGAAACCCAGGCTTCCCTCTCCGTAGCAACACTCCCCAGCTCCTCCTGGGAGACCCAAGGCGTTACCAGGCCCGATGGAATACATAATCCCTCCATTTAGTCCGGGCTCTAAACCTGGGACATGAAAATCCTCCATAGAAATGTGACCAGGAGGCGTCCTAACCACCTCAACTGACTCCTTTAAATGCTGAGTAGCAGCAGGTCCACTCCAAGCTCCTTGCATCTCTCCCCGGCACCCTTATAAAAAAATTCCCAATTGAATCCCTCTCATGAGTAAAAGACAGAGAGGACAAAGTTGTACAGCTGCTGAGCCATGGTTCTGCTCGAGGTTTCTGCCTGTTAAAAGGAAGTTTTTCCTTGCCTGTGTCGCCTAGTGCTTGCTCATGGTGGGAATTGTTGGGTTTCTGTAATTAACTTCGGAGTAGGGTCTGACCTGCTCTGTTTGGAAAGTGCTGTGAGACAACTGTTGTTGTGATGTGGCGCTATATAAATAAAATTGAATTGAATTGAAGCTGATGATGATTTTTAAAAAAAAACTATCACAACTAAAAAAGACTATCACAACAAAAACAGAAGATTGAATCTTTTATCCTGAATCAAGCTATCAAACTGTACAGCCTGAACATTTGGGACAGTTTTGAACAACTGGTGTGACAAGAGGACATTTAAAAGAAGACAAGAGAAATGTGTGAAACCATGCACAGTGACATTTGGATGCAAATTTTCAGGCCTTAGACTCAGAAAACCCTGAGACTGACTTTTATTGATGTAAAAAGTCCCAAAAAATTATTTTTAATGACAGAAGTCTTACATCCCACAACTGTAGAAGAAAAAAAGCCAACTTCTTTAGGACTACTTCAACAGGAGAGGTTCTAATGTCAGTCTGTTTTGTTTCAATGTATTACTTTAATCACACTCAA